CACCCAGGGCAGATCACACAGGAACACGTTCAGGTGGGTTGTGAAAATCTCCAGAGAAAGTCTCCGCAGCCTCTCTGTTCAGCCCGTCCCAGGGCTGTGTCACCCTCGCAGTAAAGAGGTTTTTCCTCATCCTGAGGTATGTGCTGAGTGTGTGTCATTACACACACCTCTGTGTCTCGCTAGTGTTTCCTGGCCCTTCCGTGTTTTATTAAACCATACGAAAAGACAAGGTGATACCGAAAATAAAACATCTGATAACAAAACGAGATGTAGAAGTTAAGTAGAAGCAGCATTTGAACCCCACATCCTCGCCAGTTCTGCATCCAGGAGCAATCCCAGCACCGTCAGATCTCCTTTCCAGAACTACTCCGGGCCAGCCTCTAGGGATACTGAGGAGTTACTGAAGACTGGTAACGTCTCAAGATGAATCATGTCATAAAAGGTGTTGGAGCAATAGCTCAGAGCTGAAACCTTCTGTTTTCTGTTTGACTACTGTTGGGCCCTGGTGACAGAGAGACTGGAGCTGTGCTTTCTACAACCACAAGCAGCTGCAGCTTGGAAGGTGCAGCCCAGTTACTGGTGTAAAGCAGTCTGCAGCATTTACTGCAAACCTGACAGGCCGGACAGAAGGCATGTACTGACAGTCATGAACGTTTACAACCCAAGTGATTATGGGTTGGAGGCTCTTCTGGTTGCAAATTCTACCATGAGTTGTCTGCAATAGAAACAAAAAAAATCTAGAGAAGAAAACAAATCTCTCAGCAACTGGAATTAGACATTTAACAAAGACTCCTAAATAATTATTTACAAATCATTAACAAGATATATCAAGAGTAATGTTATAATCTCTGTGGAGAACAGCCCATGTTCTCCCCCCACATAAGACTAAATCAAAGGCCTTTTAAGCCAGCAGAGGCCTTTTTGTTGACCCTTAGTAAACTGGTCAATACGTAAATGAAATACTGGTGCCAGTGACAACTGGTGAGTGTGGCGGAGGTGGTGTGTTAGTTCCTGCTCTCAGGTACGGTCCCGAAGGGGCTGTTCCTCTGTGCAAGGTGTTACCTTTTTAAAAACCCCTCCAGGTGAGCAGGGAAGCAGCAGGAGCACCCGGGCTGCCCGTGATGCCGTCCGTTCACGACCATCGCCTCTGCTGTTCCCTCTCCCTTACTTGGGTACCTGCTTTCATGAGACTTACAGCTTTGGGTGCTGCTCCCTACCTGCAGCTTTGGTTAAAATCTGCCTCTAAAAGTTATTGGGAGAACGAGACTGAACATGACAGTATGTATCTCACTTCCGTAGGAAATGAGTTTTAGAAATAACCATATGGAACTAGTATTTAAGAACTGGTTTTCAGGTGATCAATCAAACCTCAAAACCAGTGTCAAGGCTTATACTCATACCTCTGGGCCTGAGCTCTTTTGCCAAGAGTTTGGGATTTTGTGAGGCAGGCCCATCAAAGCAATGAAACAAGCAGAATTAACTTTCCATCTCAACGCCCTACAAATATTTATAAACTGCCACTTGATTTACTCCATATTCATTTTATCAGGATAGGCTGAGAGAGCTGGGTCTGTTTGATCTGGAGGAGACTGACAGGGTGATCTAATTAACACTTAAAAATAAAGGTGGATGTCAGGAGGATGGATCCAGTTTCTTTTCCATGGTGGCCAACCACAGGACAAGGGGCAATGCACAAAAGCTGGAGCACAGGGGGTTAAAGTTAAACATAAGGGAAACTCCATTACTGTGAGAATAACAGAGCCCTGGGACAGGCTGCCCAGAGAGGCTGTGGAGTCTCCTCTGGAGACATTAAAAACCCATCTGGACATGTTCCTGTATGATCTATTGTAGGTGATCCTGCTCTAGCAGGGGAGTTGGACTAGATGATCTTCAGAGGTCCCTTCCAACCCCGACGACGACTCTCTGAAGGACTTTGTAATTAAGTTGTTGGCCTTGCACATCTTTGCAAACTGAAATAAATGAGGAAATCTACGGCCAGAGTGTCCGTCTCAAAAAGTTTTCCTGCCATCTGCTGGGCTTGCTTGGTAGTGACAGGGAAGAACACTAAATTTATAGAATGACAGACTGCTGGTTTGGGTTGGAAGGTACCTTGCAGATTATCTAGTTCCAGTCCCCCTGCCATGGACAGGATCACTTCCCGCTAGACCAGGTTGCTCAAAGCCCAATCCAGCCCAGCACTGAACACTTCCAGAAAGGGGGCATCCACAGCTTCTCTGGGCAACCTGTTCCGATGTTTTACCATCAAAGTGAAGAATTTCCTCCTAATGTCCAATCCAAATCCCTTCTTTCAGTTTTTAGCCATTACTCTTTGTCCTGTCACTACACGCCCTTGTAAGAAGCTCAGTTTAGAGCATCACATCCCCTGCACACTCTGCTGGCTGTCCCTGATGGTTCAAGAAGGAATGGGGATCTGGGATTCTCCATTCTCCTGATAGCCAGCTCCTTACCAGAGTAGCAGAGTCTGGTCTCTGGACTGGTAACAGGACAGTGACCCAGAGAATTCACCCCGTCTCATTCTGTATTTCCGTAGCTGTGTGCAGCAAGGAGAAGATAAGCAGGGTTGCCACAGTGTTTGCAAAGCAAGACTGATGCACTGATGATTCAGCTCACAAGGAAGACTAAGCAATGAAAGGCAAAGTTAGTAAGAGAAATAACCTGTCTTGGGAGGTCAGAACATCTGCACATAGAAACTGCTGACTCAGACGACAAACAGGAAATACACAATCCTCGTGACACTCCAACATGTTCTGGAAGAAATTGTAACCTTTCAATGTGAACTTGCAAAGATGAAACCCTTCAAACTATGACCATTGCATAGAACACAGAATGTGGTGTTACTCCCACCAGAGAAATCAATACAGGCATAGCTTCTAATAATCACCCGTGGAAGAACTGAGTATGCCCTTTGCCAGTGAAGACATTTCGTTCTCTAAGAAGGTGTCTGACATTTGCTCTCAGCTGCTGGGGACAGGTGATCTCTGCCATCCCTTGCTCCTGAAAAGAAGAGCTCTACAGTAAATCAAATAAAGGAAGATACATCACATTCGAGTTATTTATTTAATAGTTGTAATGTATTTTGCTTCTTGACATTTCACTTAGTACATTTTTCTGATTTTAAAAACCAGATATTAGAATTTAATCTGAAGAATTCTGCTGCCAGTTTTTTTGCTGGTGAATTGCTATGTTCATCTCTATTGGCAGAAAGTCACGTAAGTAAGGGACACTCTGAAGGGAGTGACCCTTCAAAATCCAGAATTTAGTACTCACAAAAAAGGCTACAGAACACTTAAAAATTATAAAAAACTGATTAATTTTAAAAATATATTAAAAAAATAATCAGGAGAAAGACAAGCAACTGCAACAAGCCCTAGCTTTACAGTATGTATTCAGACTGCCTGAATAAGGGAAGGCTTATGTTTGCTTCTTAAATCAAAGCAACAGAATAATTTCACTGAAAAAATAGCAGATTAACTTATACACTTCAGTAGCTTCAGAACTGATCTAACTGAATCTGCTCACCTGACTTGGACATTAATACTTACATTTGTAGTAATACAAAAAGTAGGCATTTAATGTCTGATCTAAGGGCGTAAGCAAGCGAGGTTCACAAACACAATGTTGCCATAAGACAAGCTCCTACCTTTATTTTTTATTAGGAAAAATAGAATAGCGTTTGCTACTGCTCTTTATCTAAGCATTCCTTTCTGATACACTTATGCATATCTTAAGTGTTGGCTGATACACACGTGTGATTTAATATGAGGAACTAAGTAACGATACATCAAGTGCTGCATGTGAAATTGTCTGTAAAATGTGAAGTATAAGAAATATTTTAACCAATCAGTAAATCAAATGTATTTACATTACAATAAGCAAAGGACAAAATTTGTTCAAAAACTTTTATTTACTATAAAGACAAAAAACACCAAAATAGGTACAAATTATACTATATAAAATTGGTTCAATGGGGTAAAAACTTTTAATTAAAATATCTTGATATATTTAAAATAACAAAGGATACAATGAAGCCAAATTTCTTAACCCAGAGATTTCCATAGAATTTGCTTGCACAGTAAGGTGCTAATAGAAGTTAGCCCTTAAGCCCTGGAAGTCTTAGGAATCAGTCACATAGCAAATATAATTTCATTGTGAAAGTGAACTTTGGTAGAAGAAACTCTATAGGACACCTGAGGTAGTAGAAACTGGAATAAACAGCAGTAGACGTTATTTACAACTTAAGTACCAAATAACATTAAGAACACAAAAAATAATTACACAATATGATTTTCAGTCCAGCTTTGATCCAAAGAAAATAAGAATATTACATCACATCTCCATTTTAAAAACACCACAATTGCCAGGAAGCCGAGGGAAACGCAAACAAACTCAAATGCATTTGGACACCTAGAGGCAGTCTGAGTTTGAAATGTGGTAGGCATGGTGATCTACAAAGTAATACTGATTAGCTGAGGTTCATCAGTTTATACAGTTTACATTTCTGCCAGAAACAGTATTACAATCTGACAACTGATTTTCCAGTACATGAATTGGCAAGAGTGCATCCTTTAAAGCTTGCACATAAGAAGGACTTGGAAACAATCTTATTAGAATGAGAAATTCTAAAGTGGTCAAAAAAAAAAAAAAAAGTCAAGTACAAAACAGTTAGAGCTACCAAACTTCACATTTCAGTATTATCATTTTAACTCTTCAAAGTCTGCCAGTCTTCCAAAACAAAGGAATGTAAAATTTCCAAAAGAAACATATTCACAACTAATGACACTGCTTTTTTTTTTTCTTAGTATGAGCACTATCATTCCTGTAAACTTATCTTTAAGATGTTTTACTTCCAATTTGTATTGTACATTTTTAATGTACTATAGCTTATTCAGTTTGTCCTGAGTCTTTGAAAATAACCAATTCTATTTCAGTCCAACAATTCAACTGGCTTCTGAAGAGTTAAAACATGAACAGTATTTTTTTTCCAAATGCATTAAACACAATCAGTACTTGATTAAAAAAGATCCCCATATCTTAAAAAAAGCAAAAGAAAAGCTGCCATTTTCCTTCAGAATTACATGCATCAGAATCTAAAAACCTGCCAGTAAAATAATTTTTAAAACTTGTTTTAAAAAAACATACCTGCTAAAAATACAAGTTTTGCACTACAGGTGAAGCTTTACTTCACATTTTACTTTAACTTGCTTTTCAAGTCCGAGTTTGTTTCTTGTTAAAATAAATACCTTTCTTATGGTAATACTTTTAACATTTTCAAATTAAATTATCACTAATGGCTACAGTAAATAGATGATGTACGGCGGAAGGAAAACAGCAGGTAAAACTTACCAGTAGAGAGTGTGGCCTCTTTTGTTGGCACCATACTTGGCACCTGCTCCCACTGAAGTACAGGACAATGTTTTCCATAAACAAAAATGGGAGCTGAGTTTGAGGCCTTTAACAAGGAACATCTCTACCCGATTTGCCAGAAGAAACAGCTATATGAAAAGAAGGCTCAACAACTTTTAGCATGATCCAGACTAAGTTGTTTTATACAGAACAATATATATTTTTTTAAATAACCTATACTATCAGAGCCTTCAACACTGCCTTGTTGAAGGCGACTTTTTTTTTTTTATTCCAGATTTCCAGCAAATCTGTTTTTAAAACTTTTGTGTCAGCAAGGTGTTCCATGACACAGCTTGCACCTTTTTCTAAAGACTATTAAAAAATATCCCCTTTAAAGTAAAAAATACAATGCAAACAAACTTTTAATTTCAAAAGAAATTACATGGCCAGCAGTAAATGCACAGTGAACGACAACTGCCTGCTCTTACTTTAAGGAAGTCATAATGTTTGTTTTTTCAAAGTATCCATCACCAAAAGGTATCCAATGTTTGGATAGCTACTCAGAGAACTTGTGATTGAAAGGGACAGACACAAAACTTCCTTTTAAGCAGTGCTGAAAACTGACTAATTGCAGAACCATCTGCTTACATCTACATGATGTGAAATTGAACAGTGATTGCTATATTAAAATAGATCCTGAGCCCCTCAGCTGCTAATATTGCTGAAAAAGTGCTCCAAATAGAATAAAAATCACTTATCTGCTAATCATGCAGATTTA